TTACAAGGTGAGGTTGGGCAGTATTTTGTTGTTATTCGTTGCAATAGGGTGTATTCTGTTGTTAGTCGCAAGGCAATATCTCTAGAATCACTATTTGTGACAGTGTGGAGTCACTAGACATGGATGTCACTGCATACACTGATGGAGCAGCGGGAGTGAAATCACTATAGGACGAAGTCACTGTACATGTCGGCAGAACGAGATAGTAAGTTAGTGTTGAAGATATTTATTGTGAATCAAGTTTGTCATTAGTCTTGTTTTTATTTAGCCTTTTATGGTATGTATTTAATTATAATAATCAACCTAGAAAAGGAATAACTTATGCTTTGCCCCATATTCCTAGGTTAGGCCCTAAATCAGGTAAGTTGTACACGTGCACCTATAAATATGCGCATAAGATGTACAACACCGATAACATCTTTACGCTAAAATTCCGTTGAATTACCTTTAGAGTTTCTCGATATATAGAAAGGAAGAGTTCATTGATCATTTTCTGAATCTCTTCTCTTTTCTTAAATGGATGATGTGCAATATATAGATGTTCATTATTAATCTCAAATACAAAGGAAAGTGAAGGATTGATAGCAATTTTATTTTGGATTTGTTCCAATAACAGTTTGATAAGATTTAATTGTGAGTATCTAATTGGTCTTAAAACTTTGAATTTCTTTAAAAAAAAAATCTTAACCATTTGTGGCTCACTCTACTTTAAGAAAAAAATTGTAGTCGCTACATAGAACATTACCACTCCAAAATGAAATATAACTCTACAACATCACCAAAAGTGGAAATGACAATAACATATTAGAGTTCGTTTGGTAATAGCCAAACAAACTTTTAACATATTGGCCGATTCTGCTTAAATTTATAAAATTCTGGCTTATGTGGCTGTATTAGCTGATTTTGTGGATTTGTGAAAAATAATAATTAAAAATACATTTTATTAATAAAATAAAGAAAAAATATGTGAAAAAATAATAAATAACCATCTACAGTAACTTCAGTCAATACAGCCAGAAAAGTAATTACAACCTCACTTTTTCTTATTATTACACAATTCAGCCCGTAAAACTAAAAGTTTCGTGTTTGGTTAAAAAGTTGGCTTATAATACTGAAAAGCCAAAAATCACGACTACCAAAGGGGCACTAAATGTGACATACTAGTATACTACCTCCACTCAAAAACTCTTTCGACTTTGAGTTGATGTTTATTAAGAAACGGAAATATATGATTTTGATTGATATCCCTAAAATGATAGGTAAAATAGGTTGATAGTATGTTTTTATCTTTAGCTTTCATTTTAGCTTTGCTAATATCTTAAGGATTACAGTCTATAAATTTTGAAAAGAAAAAATGTCAAGAAATATAACATACGAAGTATTTATTTAAAATCAACAAATTTATTTAGAATTGTTCTCAAATCGTTTTTATTTATTCGTATCATAGAATTATTTATCATCAATATATGTATGAAAAGGGTGAAATAAAAAAACCATTGAATCATTGACAGTTGTTTTCCTTGTACATTCACAAGATAAATATGAACGCAAACATAAAGCTTCTTCTTTTGTCCCTGAGTGACTTTCCAGAAAGCTTTACTATACTTCTTTGTAAAGAAATTCCCTTCATACAAACTAAAATGACCAAGAGTACAAGACTAAGGAGTTTTACAATACCAGCACTTGCGGTTACCACTACATCAGGGACAGTGGCGAAGTCAGGAATGTCAAGTTACAGGGGCCGGGCTTAAAGAATTTATATGGGTAAGGCCAATACTTAAATTTTCACTATATTTTTTACTACTTAAAAATATTTATACATACATATATACATCACAAATTTTTTGTGATACGAATAACACAAATTCATCACATATATGAAGATCTGAAGACCCATCAATCTTATTGTGATTAGCAAGCTTGATAGAATGGCAATATTCAAGCTTGATTAGTTCTGGATAATTCAATACTGGGAAGTTCTTAAAAGCAAGCAAGAGCAAAAATCTCCAAGCCACTTTGTGATCCAAAGAAGCTGCACAAAAACTACAATTGCAAAATCGAACCGATATACTTTCAATGTGGGAAGACTCATTAATTACATTTCCACAATACATCTGGAGATCATTTATCACTTTCAAAGCTCTTAGCAATTAATGAGTTTTATTGTATTACTGAAACGGGAATAATGTACATCAATGACAGAATTAACTCTGCCCACGAAAATTGAACATCTATTGACACAGATTTCCGGTACGAGAACCCTAATCAGTGTTCCTGTTACAAAATTTACTAACCATCAATGCGCAACTAGAGCGCTATCGCTATTGCTATTACTGAACAGATCAGCCACCGATTCGTGCGGCTGCGGTACAGGGCTGGACGGAATAGGGATGGAGAAGAGCACCGTCTTGGCGGCGGCGAGTTTCTTCCTCTGAGGACAACGCGGGCCGCGGATCCGGGCCGGAGAACAGGGAAAACCGTCATCAGGCACGAAATGAGTCGGAATAGTGTGCGGAGGAGAGATCTGGAGGTGAGAATCGATTACGCGGTGCGTCCTTGCGCTGATCCGTGAATCTCTGAGACGAGCCAGCGCGCCGGGCTTCAGGTACCGGAGATAAGACGCCGATGAAGCATCGGATTTCAGACAAGCACTCCTGGCGTGGCGGCGCATGGCGGAGAAAGGGAGTTAGATTGAGATTCAATGGAGGAGAGTAAAGATGCGGGGATTGATATTTTTTATTGTTATATTCGGAATATATATATACTGAGAAAATGGTAGAAGCACTGGGCGGGAAGGGAAGGGGTAAAGAGAGAAAGCGCGCTTTCCCTTCAAATCAAAAAAACAAATTAAGAGGGAAGAGGCGCGATTTTCAGAGATACGAGTTTCGTAGGGTTTGGGCCTGAAGGCGCCGATTGGCCCTTTTATTTACACGAATAAAGAATTTTACAAATATAGAGAGGATGAAAATTGAAAATTGTAAATGTAAAATTCGAATAATTGGAAATTAGGAATTTAGAACTCATAGGAGTGTTTGGTAAACAGCCTATCAATCAATTTTTATCTTTTTTGAGTGACTTTAGTGGTTTGACTTTTTCAATCAGTTATTATAGGTGTTTGGTAAACAGTTTTTTGATTTGATTGTTTGCTACAAAAACAGGTCACTACAGATACCTTTTCATAACGAATTTTCGATATTATTATTTAAAATTCTAATGTACCTTCTCGTTTTAGCCCATTTGGTAATCATTTAATATTTATTCAAAAAAAGAAATAAAATGAAAATAACTACGGCAATGCAGTGTTCTAAAAGGCCCCAAAAGGCGCCGCAAAGGCGGGTCTAGACGTGGGGCGCCACTCAAACGCCTCGCCTACCCACAAGGCGCAGGTAAAAGCGGACCAAGCCCAACTTAAGGCCCATTTACGGCCGGAAGCGTTTGTTTCATGAGTGGAAGGGAGATAGAAAAATATATAGAGTTGGGGAGAGTGATACGCTTCTATGGCTCCGGTGTGGGACTTTTGAAGGGGAAAGTTGAAAATGAAATTTGAAGTAGTACTCCAGTACTCCGCATTTCATATCATGCTAAAAATGAACTTCGAAGGGGGATTCGAACTCGGATGGAGCCTGGTGTAAGGAGGTTCATATAGCCAACTCGGCTGCAACATCATTACGAACTATCTGACATTTTTTAGTTATAATATATACCCAATATGCTTATCAAGTATGTTTATATTACTAATTATGTTTTTTACTTTCTATTGCTATTATGTTATATATTATTATTATTATTATTATTATTATTATTATTATTATTATTATTATTATTATATTGTTATTGTTATTATTATTATCACTAATTATTATTATCACTAATAGTATTATTGTTGTTGAAATTCTTACTATTATTTTTGGAATTTTTGTTGTTGTTATTATTATAATTGTTGTATTTAATTGTTATCATTATCAACGTTCTCACCATTGTCATTAATTAAACTATTTTTTCAGTTCCAGATTTTGTGTACCTTGTGGTCTGATGACATCATTGTGACACTTTCAAAAAGGATGTCACATGTTCGAATCCCATCTCAAATCAAGGATGTTGGCCTTAAGAAGTTCTAGTTTTTGAGTGATTAGTAAATTTGTACTCTGTATTTGTTTGATTTAGGATTGGAAAAATACATTTTTTTGTTGAAAATGAGAAAAGTATATATTTTTGAATAACATTATCTAATATTTAAATAAAATATTTAAAATGTCTCTAGGAAAACTAAAATAAATGATAAAAAAAATCAAAACACTTTTTCACGCCTCAACCCCACTTAAGCCCGCCTAGGCTCCAAAGGCTTAAGGCTTCGACGTGCCGCCTCGGCACGTCTTACGCCTTTTAGAACATTGCGACAATGTAATAACATCGATAATAGATATTATCATGAATATTATTCTTAGTTTATAATATTATTTTAAAAGTTACTAAAATAATCATATTTAAAATATTAATACTAAAAATAAATGAATTTGTGTACATATAATAGTTAAAATTGATTACTATTTTAGAGCATATGTTTATGTGTAGTCATGTATATATATTAAAAATATTAAGAGTAGTGGTTATATAAAAGGGAAAATCACACTTTTAGTCCTTGAAATAGTTATCATATTGAAATGTCAGACCCGTATTTCCGAGATTGTAAATGTCACCCCTCAATTATTCAAATTGCGGTTAATGCGGTCCTTTGAGGGGAGAAATTTACTCCTCGCGCACATTTTACCTTTCACCCATCAAAGGATCACATTTACAACAATTTGGATAATTAAGGAGTGACATTTACAAACTTTAAAATACGGGTCTGACATTTTAATATGGTGACTATTTTAGAGAAAAGTGTGTTTTCCCTATATAAAATAATAGCTAATGTACACTTGGTCCTTTAGTTATACTCCTTGATAAACAAATTTGAACAACAATAATTGAATTGTCATTTTCAATATTCTGAATTATTTTTTAACTACTAAACAATTCTCTCTAGGGCTTTGGTGCCACTAAAGCTCTGTTTTTCTCCGTTGTTGAATTTCCGAGGAGCGGGCCGCCTTCTGGTGGGCTTTGGTATTTGTAACGCAGGTGCTGAGCAAGGCGAAGGTTGCGGCGACTTTCCTTCGGCGATTGAAGGACGGACTCCGCATGTCATCTTTCTTCTTCGTCTATCCCGCAAACGGAAGCCGATTTTTGAGAAGCAGGGGCGAATCCTCTGATGGAAGATATAGTTAATCAATACAAATAGATGGCAATTGGTGAGGATAAGGAGGAGCTGGTTTTCGATGATGAGGAAGATGGAGAGCAGCCGACAAACAAAGGGAAGGCGATTTTTCCGGTGGTTGGTATGGTTCTTACGGATCGGAAGATCAAATTTCAGTTTTTCAAGGAATTGATGGCATCGTTGTGGAGGCTAGTTAAAGGTGTGTCCATCAAAGAAATTGGTGAAAAGAGGTACATCTTTACTTTTTACCATGTTTTGGATATGAGACTTGTTTTAGATGAAGGTTCGTGGTTGTATGAAAAGAATTTATTACTGCTAAAAGAAATCAAGGTGGAGGATATTCCTCTACGGATTAATCTTCATTAGGCTGAGTTTTAGGTTCAGGTTCACAATGTAGCGTATGGTTTTATGAATTTGGCCTCTGCGAGGTGAAATGGCAATTATATTGGAAGTTTTATTAGTTTTGATGAAAGCCAGTTTGATGAAAAATGAGAGACCTATATGAGAATTAGGGTCCGAATGGATGTTAAGAGGCCCCTGAAAAAATGTACTACACTGAAAAAGGTGTGGATTAGCCAATGGGTGGACTTTAAGTATGAAAAACTCCCAAACTTTTATTTTGTTTGTGGAATTATTGGCCATTCTGATAAATTTTGCCCAATAGTGTATGAGGGGGAGAACATCACTTTTAATAAAATTTATGGACTAAATCTTAGACCTGGGGGTGGGGTGAAGACTAGCCCAACAGGAGGAAACAAGTGGCTGATTGAAGGGTCTTCCAATACTTGTATGAGGCTTCCACAGAGGAGTGATAGTGAGGATACAGACAAGCAGGGCTGAAAGGAGACTACAACAAGGACAGGAATCGGCTCTATTAAGGAAGGGAATTCGGTGAGTCCGGAGGAGGGGTCGGGAGAGCAGAAGCGCAGGAGAAACTGGGAGGAAAAGGAACAAGAGGATCCAGCAGGGGAGGATATGGCACTTGATAGGCAAAAAGGCTCGGTTGGCGGACTTGTGGTGGTGCACTTGAAGTTTGAGAGTTTTTCCTACTTTTTTTGTTGTTGTTTTAGTTAATCACACTGTTTACTGCGTTGTTTTAATTTTTTATTGTATGATTCTTGCATTAAGATCGGGTGATGGTAGGTCTGCTTCAATCGTCTGTGGCTCAGGTTTGCCCATTAATGGATCAACGAGTTATATTGCTTATTTGAAGGTGATGAACTCCAAGCCTAGTTCGAGGACTGACGATTATATGTGGCTCCTATATCATTTTAGTTCCTTTCCGAATTCTAACGCTTTGATTTCAATATAAGCCTCCCTCTTCAAAAAAAACTTCTGATTTTTTTTAATGTCCTCTTCCTCTCATTTTTCAAAGAAAACATCCTTATAATTTAAAAATGATATGAAAATGTTCTTTATTAAAAGAACTTATAAAAATATAACATTTATAACTTTCATAATATTGTACTAATCAAAACTATGATCCAATTTTTAAGATTTGGCTAAGTATTTTGGAACAGGGGTAGTATATAATATAGATAGGTATATTTTGGTCCTGAGATCCCGTGGGACCTTTAGTGGGTCTGCCACTGCTTGGGCATATATTAACATTTATTACAACTATAATGTATAGTAGTAACAATTATAATACCTATACTCTAAAAGTTCAGTCTTGGAGTACATAAATGTACATTATTTCATATTATTTTTACTACTACGTAGTTTATACTTTGTTGTTCACAACTTTAGTTTCTTTTGTTTTTACCTCAAAATTTTCAAAGATGTTTTTAAAATTCAGAATGTCATCAATTACGTACCCTATATCTTTTTAAAGCGTTTATGGAATAAACTTCAATTCTTTGGTCAACCAATATTTAATTTTTTCAGTTATTTCTAACTCATACCAGTCATACAGAGTAGATTTTTACTTGAACAACTTTTTTATTTAACGGGCGTTCTTATGTGCACTGTGTTTTATTTTGTATTGTTTTGTAAGACTATCTTTTTCAATGAAAAAGCTATGAGTTTTTTCAAACATATTACTAAAATAAAACTTATCAACACAAACATGACTAATGGTTACTACAATGTAGTGGAATGGTAACTTAATTTTTGAAGTTGAACACAATATACTATGATTCTACTACCACTCTAGTCACTAAATACATTTTGTAAACAGTCTTTATTTTTGTCATAGATATGTAATTATTTCAAAAACTATTTATACACATTAGTACCCATGTCGGTGAACAAGCTATTTTTTTTGTTTGTGAATAGCATGTTCACACGCGAAACATGTTCGCTAATGTGTGTTTTCTCGCACTTAAAAAGATTGTAATATAGTGGTGTAAGTACGAGTATCGTCTCCACAGGGACGGACAAAAGAGAATTAAGAATTAACTAAATTCAGCGATTAAAGATAAATAAATAAATAATGCGTCGTGCGAGATATGATTGGGTTGGAAAATTAAACTAATGCGAATGAGCAATTAAAATAAAAGATTGGTTTCTTCTTAATTAACGACGAAGGGAACAGGAAATGATTCCGGGGTTAACCAGATTTCTGGCAAAACAAGCCTAATTACATGAATTTAATTTAATTGAGCCTAGCTAATCATTACTAAGTTCTTACCGCTCTCGCGGCGTAGAGTACAATAAATTAGGGGACCAGGCTGATCTCTCATGCGACAGGATCCTAAATTATTGCCAAGACGAGCGAGCTTACGGCCCCTTAATCGCTACTAATCTCTTAACGAACGATTAAGTGTGTGTGAATGTGTCCTAGAATAAACTAGATCTCTCTTAATTTATTCTACAAGCAATTGTAATTTTAGCCGCAGTTCCAGGTTACAAAAGATATCAGTTAAATTATTCAAACACAAATTAAACGACATTCATGCAATTAAACCAACAAGAATCTAGCCATCAATCATGATTAACCCCTTCATCAACCCCAAATCCCTAATTAAACTACTCACAATTCATAATCGAAGAATCAACAGAATTGGGATGAATAGAAATAATTGTCATTAATTAAAAAGACGAACTTACAAATAATCCCAGGGTCTTGGAAGAAAATAGCGTAAAAACGGTGTTAAATTCGTCCCTAGGCCTCTCCGTAATGTTCGTCACGTCAAAATATGGGTCTGGGGGTCTTATTTATAGAAAACAGATGAGTTTGGGCTGAACTGGGACTAAAGAGGGGCTGAAATCCGCGTTTTGGGTGTACGCACAATCGTGCTTACCTTGCCACGCACGATCGTGCGTACGTGGCAGTGGCTTTCTTCCGTTTTTGCCTCGGACGCACGATCGTGCGTTCCCCTACGCACGGCGTGCGTCAAACTTCCGAATTTGACAAAACTTCCTTCATGCAAGTTGTAGATAATGAAGTCCTCTATACACCCCAATTTGCCGAATGTCATTTGAATCATCCAATCAAGAGATATGATCAAAACGGTGCAAGGTGTCATTCTGAAATCGCAGCAGAGATCATCTGACTTCATCGTCTGTTTTCACCTTCTTGCTCTCATATTCTCGTAATGGTGGCTTCATATGATTGATTTGTAGCCCTTGAAGTTGGCTTTCATATAAAACTTGAATCGTATCCATTGGTTTTTCCTACAAAGAGATATGCGTGAACGACTGACAGAAGGTCGTTCTAATCGTTGTTTTCAAGCTTCATTCATATTCTTTTGATCCCATAGCCAATCCTAGAGCTCTTTTGACATCAAATCTTCATCGTGAACCTCCCGGTGACCTCCAAAGCTCTCAATCCACTCTCGAATGCATCTCGAATCATCCCGATTGATCCTCAAGTGCCGATGTTGAA